GAGGACCTTTATTAGGCAACGATGGTCGGAGGATTAGGCAATGTTGATTAGAGGACTATAGTCGAGTTGCTCTAATATGAGAATCATAGTGTAATAGCCTGCAATTTAATCCAAACAAATCATTTTTAGAGGAGTCATTATAAGTCCAATTTGAAAATCGTCTTCACCGTAAGATAGATATTAGAGTGTTTTAATTATAATAAATTTTTCATAATTTTTATTACTGGTGCAAATCCTTAAGAAATTGATATCGATCAATACAAGTCGGGATTTTAAGATTGTTAGGTGTTTGTTTTATAAACCAATTTTACCGGTATTTTTTAAATAAAATGAGCTAATTTTTTAATATTTTTATAGTTATTAAAGCACCCAAAAAATCTATTTATATTTTATACAAAAAATTAATTAAATTATATATTTATATTATATTATACTATTATTTTATTTTTAAATATCTAATTCCATTGCATGAATTTATTAAATTCTTTTTCTCCTTAAGCATTTGGCTAAGAGAACTATAAGGAAGAATTAGAGAGAAAATGAGAGGAGAGAGAAAAAAATAAACCTAGTGTTTAGACGTTGCGAAGCGATTTTTAACAATCAGTTTAGTTGAGATTTTTTTTTCTCAGTGTAAGGAACCTTTATCTTACATCTGATATAAAAAAATTTATGTTTTTCATATTTTATCAATCAAATTTATATTCCTTTTACCGAAAATGATGATAATTTTGTATTGGTAAAACTTTGACCACATAACTTTTGGTATGTAATAGATAATGTCAATATGAACATTTTGACATGAATATATTTAATTTCACTGGTTAAATAGGAAGTTATGGTTTTTTCAAGTAAATACAAAGTAGATAATTTTGATGGATTTTCCTGTATTATATGAATTCTACATTCCATATATGATATTGATAAAAATGTAGCATTTACATGTAAGGGAGGCTAGATGGAAAGCTGGTTGTTATCATAAAAGATGAAGATTTATATTTATTAGTCGACAATAGGGACTAATTAAGAATGATACACAACTGTGTAATAATTGGGGTGGATCGATACTAATTAGTTGAAAATTGGGCCTAATTAAAACTGATTACCAACTCGGCGATAATTGGGATTGACCGATACCAATTAATTGAGAGTTGATCCTGATTAAGATTAATACTTCACTAGACAATAATTGGGGTAGAAAAATATATTGTATTCATGATTGCATTTACATGATAGTACATTTGAATTGATTGATAATACAATTAAAATTATATTGGCATCAATATTGATACAACAAAATATAACATACTGACATAATTCATTGGATAATAATTCGTTTTACCGTATGTCTTATAGTTAGATAAATCTCTTTTGACTTCACCTGTTATATTATTTTTTCATATTTTTATTGTTCATATTAAGTGATGATTGATATTGACTAAAAATGAAACTGAGGATTGTTGTCAAAAGAATGTGACTAATATATCATAGTCTAGTAATGATTGACGAATTATAATCAAGTAGTAATACCCAAAGGTTGTAGTTTAGCATTAGTGGTTGTAGGATCATAATCATGTAACTTTGATTATAGTTCCATAGTTTTATGATCATAAATATAGCTAAAATATTGAGCACTTCGTTAGTATGTCTATATTAAATTCATACATCACAAATAATTCTTATAAGCATATAAGTGCCTTGATGATATTGGGATTAGATGATTTTAGGCTTGTTTGTTTTGTTTTAAAGTTTTATCGAGACACTCAATTTGATTGTAAGCATATAAGATTTAGAGTTCATTTGGGTTTACAATTAAAATCCTAAAGTTTTCTATTGTGCTTCAGTTGCTCTATTTGAGCTCAAATTGGATCACTTTTAATGGTTTTGGATTCATTTCTATAAGTCGTTCAGCTTCAATTATAAAGTCTACTAAAATCGATGTTTAGATGGTTCTGAATTTGAATTTGGAAGTTTAAATTCAACTATGTGGCAATATTCACGCCCGATTAGGTAGATTTCTTTATGAAATTAAATTTCAAACTTTTAAAATAAATAATATATAAATATATATGAATACATACATAAACTTTAACATTGTTGTGGAATAGAATATACACGGCGATAGAGTTAAAAAACATCCATCTCAGTGTTGTACAGATATCTAGCACACAAATAGAGGAGAAATAACGATACCACAATTTTTACGTGGAAAATCATGAAAGGGGAAAAACCACCAGGCCACACCCAATTTAATGAGTTCCACTAGTGTTTGTTTGAAATACAAGAGGATGACTCGTCTTTAAAATTTAGGACGATCAGATTACAATGAATCTCTTCAGGATTGAGAATCAATTACAACGTCAAGCAGATCAGTTCCGGCTTAAATTGAAGATCGGGCGGAATTTTGGCGTCCTTCGGAGGTCAGGAAGAATTCCGACATTGTTCATAAGTTGGGCAGAATTCCGACGTCGAGCAGAACTCTAGCATCACTTGAACGTCGGACAGAACTTCAGCATCGTTCGAAAGTCAGGCATAATTCCAGCGTCGAGCAAAACTCTGGCGGTGGTCGAGTAGGAGTTCTTCCCTCCTATCCTTCTCTTCTTCTTCTCTTTTGCTTGCTTGGGTCCCTCTCATGAGAAATAAGAGGTCTATTTATATATATTATGGAGTGGCATGACTTGTAAATAGGTGAGAGATCAGGGGTAAATAGGGAGTGGTCGGATGGACGACCAATATTGAATCCCTTGATTTTGCACCGTTCGTCACACATTTGAAGGTTTTAATGATGTTGAAATTTGACGATCTTGGGCTCGTTGGATTTGTCTTGTTGAGCTGCTCGATTTGACTATAAGAACGTCATATTTGGAAATCGTTTGGTAACTCAAATTATGGTTTGAACTTTCTAACAGCGCTTCGGGTGCTTGATTTGGACTCATTTTGTCTCGGATTGAGTCGAATTTGGTGTCGTTGAGTTCGTATTTTTGAGATGCTCAGTTTGACTATAAGTTTGTTGAAATTGAAGTTCAGGTGATCCTAGATTTAATTTTTGAAGTTTCCAGTTGGATTTTGCCTCGAGATTCGTGCCCGATCAAGACAAATTTTTGATGATACATCAAACATATAGCAGTTTAATGACCTCATTAGAATAATTAAACCCTAACTCTTTGGAATTGTGAGGTATTTAAGGCCAATGCTTCCAAGTTTCTTGCAATGGAAACTCTACCATTCCTCTATGGATGAAATCCATCAAAATGCACTTTCTTAGATTCCATTTGACAAAAAGTAATTTGGAGGGCAAATAAATCTATTTTATTTCATGCTTTTGCATTGTGTTTGATTATAAGGTAATTAATAGCTATATATTAGTAATAGAAATAAATTTTTATTAGGCCAATGTAATGAAATTTTGGATTAATATGTTATGTGTATTTTATTTCTTAGGTTTCATATGGTATAGCATTCGCGTTGCTTTTTTTTTTTTTTCAAATCGCAATCATGATTTTTATTTGATCACAATTTTTTAGTTGCTTTCAAAAAAAATTTGTATAAGGGAACTATTTTCTACAATAACTTTAAAAAAAAATACTTTCTCTACAATAATTTTACAAAGCAGCAAGAAAAATTTCATGAACAAATCCTTAATCTTCTAACTTGGCAATTAATACAAGGAAGCATTATGAATTTGGATTGGATAACATTACCTATCAAAGTATATTTTGGATTTTTTTTCCCTTAATTCTCAATGCATTCTATGTTAAGACTTGGAACACCCCCACTTTGATTTATTTTGGTGATTTAAGGCTTGTTCACAAAACATAAACTATCAATTTGGAAGAATAAATTGCATTGGTCAATAAAGAAGGATAATGAGGGGGTGGGATTCATAATCTACATGCTTATCTATTGATATTATTGATTGTTCAAGCTTGCCTAATTCAAGGGCTAATCAGGGACAAATTATTGCATTCGGTCACCGGACGCGGAGAGAGGTCCGGATATTAATAAAATATTATTTTAAATAAAATGCGTCAAAAGCGCAGGTAAAGCGCATGTAAAGCGCAGGTCAAAGCGCATGTAAAGCATAGTCAAAGCTCAACTAAAGCGTAAGTCAAAAGCGCAGGTGACGTGGCAAATTTTTATTGGATGTCCGAACCTATTCTCCGCGTCCGGTGACCGGATGCAATAATTTGCCCTAATCGGGTCTAGCTGAGTACATATGATATTGTTCAAGCTCGATTATTTTTTATTTTTTCTTATTGAGGTCAAGCCAAATTTGGACAAATTTAATATTTGAAATCTTGTTCAAATTTATTTATTAATTTCTGACAAACATTGAATCGTAATTGAGTTTTGATCGAGCATAATTAACAATTATATATTTGTTCATAATGTTTAAACATGTAATTTCACTACTAGATGTAATTGGATTTATAGATCTTAATCAAAATTAGTATAATTCAGTAGTCATTAGTTAAGTTATTTAGTGAAGTTCAAATATTAAAAAAAAGGAAAAAAAAAATTATTTATATATCTAACTATTTATTTGTTGTGTTCAATATAGTTATATATTTAATAAAACAAATTATTTTTAAATGCACAATATATGTAATATTTGATACAATAACATTTAATAAGTGATAAAAAATTAACTCTGATTGTAAAACATAGTTTTATACTCCAAATCTTTTTTATTTTTTGAAAAATAGCGAGAAAGAAGTAATAAATCAATAACAAAATAAAAATATAATTGAAGTTTGAAAAGTAAATCAATGAGAAAGTTATCCGACCCACCATTGCTTAGCTTGGTTGGTGAGTGAGTACGGTTGAGAAACTCCAACCTTTGCTCGATTCCCCTCGAACGACAGTGTCTTTTAAGTGGGGCTCAATCAAGTGCGGGCTAGTGTATGGGATGGGTGCCTCTTCTAGATCAGGCGAGTATTAGTCATGCCGCCAAGCACCCTTTCGGAGATATCAACGGGTGAATTCCGTTCAAAAAAAAAAAATAGTACTCATCACAAAATTTATTATTTTATTTCATTCAATATTTACAGGACAGGGTCTTTATAAATATTTACAGAACAAAACCATTAGACAGAAGCTAAGCAGAAGACTGATCCTGTAGGGCTTCAAATATATCACTGCGAGTAACCATACCTGCCATGATCAATTACCATACTTAGCCTTATTTAATTAACCAACTAACATAATGATTAAAAACTAATCACACTTAAGCTGCTAATTAAGATTGGTGGAAGTCTCACCTATAACTTGCTTTTGCTGGTTCAGAATGGGAATCCTGTGGATCTTCATCCTTAGCATTAGAGCCGCAGCGTCTACAAAATAATAAATTTATAACTAATCATAAGATGATACATTTAATTAACATCTAAGTAATGTGCGCATCTGTAATTAAGAAGCTCTTATTGTATACCCTTCACTGTCTTCTCAGGCGTCAGTGTGATCGCCGGCGACGACATTATATCAGCCACCTTGGAGTTCACCTGATTTCATAGAGGCAGAAAATGTCAAGACAGCTAAAATATCTCACCAAAAGCTCAGGGTATAAATTGAAGACTTACACATGTATTAAAATTTAAAAACATTCACATTTTTAAAAAATATTCTGTGAGGACCGGATGGTCCGGAGATCAATCAAAACGTGTCACATCACCTGGTACCGAACCAAAAACGTATTATGATCCGTTCAGATTGATCTCCGGACACAGTCCAAAGTTCGCACAAAATAATTTTTCCTAGTCAATAATCTCTCCATCGCCCCTTCTGCCAAAGAGCTCATGATGTAGATCTTGGCTTCCCCAATTGATGCCTTCTCTCTAAGAGCTACACTAGTAGCTCTTGTGCAATTTACTCGATTCTTTGTTGTTGAGAGTAACTCCAATCGAACACCGTTCGCCGGTTTGCAGCTCCAGCGAGTGTCCACTCGATGAAAATGGAATAAATTTTTGAGTTTTATATTGGCTATGAACAGTGCGATATCAATATTGACGTCACACTATTCATCCGAACAACAATCAAACACCATTTTTTCTATTGTCACTCTACAAAGATGAGAAATAATATATACATAATATTTATTTTTTATTTATTTATTTTGATGTCGAATGTTATATGAGTACTTATTAAAAAAAATCATGTCGACTATAGATGCGATGAGCGTTGATGACCTCATGGTTTGCTTTGGCTAAGTCAGTCTTGCAGACGACTCCGAGACACCGTCGCTCATCGTCGACCACCGGAAGTCCCGACACGAATTCAAAATGGTCGGCGATCTCTCCCAAGCTCTGCTCTGCTCTCGCTGCCCTTACAGTCGTCGACATCACTTCTCGAAGCAGGGTCTTCGATCCCACATGCTGAAGATAAAAGTTTGTTAACAAGAAAAATTTTGGTCATATTCAAGAAGTTTATTTCAAATCATCTGAAAATTTTTGAAAAATTTCAACCCACTTAACAAAGAAACTAAAAAAAAAAAGGATTTATGGAATCTAAGGAAAGCTAATCAATTAGAACCTTTTTAGCTGGTGGTTGGGAACGGATGTAATCGAGGAGGTCGTCGTAGCTGAGCAGGGAGAAGTTCGGAGCCCACTCGCCGGAAATTATGGCTTCCGGGTTCTCATCAAGCTCCGGCCTGAGATCGCCGGCAGAGGGGAAGAAGACCTTGAGGGAAGAGCGTCGGCCGGCAGTAATTGTACCGTGGCGGTGGTGAAAGCGGAGGGCGGCGGCGGGGGAAGAGAGAGAAGCGAACAGAGAAGTGGAATGGGCCATGGAGGTTGTACCGGGAATTCAGAATAGCGAGGCCTTGCCGATTAAATAATTGGATCGTCAAGAAGAGTGGGCCCTACTGCATGAAATGATTGGATAGATTTTAATTTTTAATTTAAATATTTTTTATTTTTACCCAAAAAAATATATTTTTTATTAAATAAATCAATTAATTTTATTTCGGTTCAATTCAATTAATTGGAGCAGAATTGAAATAGATAAGATCGAGCTGATCTGAAAGAGACAAGCACTTCAATTTCTAAAAAAAAAATAGAGTAAAATAAATAACATAAAAAGATATTTAAAATATTTTCTTATGATAGAATGATTGTTAAATAAATATAAATAATTTTTTTTTTGTTAGAAGTAAAATGAATGCAATATAAAATTTTACGATGGTGAGAACAGTCGCAGTGACCAACGGTGAGCGTCGAGATAAGGGGAGGTGGGCAGCTACCGATGTCGATGACCAATAACTGATGATGAGGTGGCATGTGGTGTCGGACGACAACAACAATAGTAGTAGAAGTAGTAGTAGAGAGTTTATTCAAATTTGAGTCTTGAGGGCTTTATTGAGGGGATTTTTGTGTTGGTTTGATTAAATTTCACTCAAGTGAAATATGTTGAGTAACTCTCAGAAGAAAGATTGAAAGTTAAAGACTTATATGTAACGTAAAATTTTTTTGGTGATTTTTCTCTCTCAACTATTTATTTATTTATTGGATATTCATATATCATTGAGACGAAAAAACTCTTTCACTTTATCCTCACAAAATACCCAATAGTCGACAACAATAATATTGATAGGCATTGGCTGAAAAGTGAAAATTATCTAAAACCAAAAACTGAGTGGTTTGATTTTGATTGATTTGAATTTAATTTGTTTTTAATTTATTAGTTTTTTCTTGTAAATTGATTGATTTGATTTGTTTTGAATTTTTTGAAAAAAAAAAATATTTTTTGAAATAACATGAATGTAGTGTAATGCCTAATGATTATAGTGACTTTTGTTTAGTGGACGACAGCTGTGGCTGACGACTGTGGGGGTACTGGTTGGTGGTAGGTGGCATCCAACTACAACATCTTGTAGCAATGTTGGGTGGCTATCGATGGTTGGGCAACTTGGAGGTTGTGGCTACCGATGATAATGGAGCCACCTTTGATTTTGATCGACTGAGTTTATAATAGATAAAAAATGAACTATCAAGTAAATTTGTAATTCACAAACATTTTATTATGCAATTCTTTTTCATCAAGCCAAACACCAAATTTTCTCAAACTCTTATAATTATTATATTTTATACTCACTTTTTATGAAACCAGCGAGCATTTACATGAAAAATAGAAGAAGTAAAAATATAAAATATCGAGAAATCATTGTATTCATTTCATTTTATATTCATCACAGCCATTTAGTTACAATACTGTCTTAAATAACAAAGAGATAATATTTGTTATCATGTGATGAAGAAACTTGGCTTGAATGGCTGAGATGAGGAGAATGGTTATGCTTGGATGGCTGTGATTTATGTAGTATAAGAGGTGGATTAGCTTGTGAGATATTTTGGCTATTTGGTCAAGTTTGGTTGTTACCTAATACCTACCATCATGGTAACAATCAATTCTTGGATTGTTAGCTTCTCCCTTTTTATGGGGGATGTGATTAGTTGGAAGATAGGGGGATTCTTCTAAGGTGAGTAGAAGAGTGAGGCTTAATTACGAGTAGTTAATTTGAAGGTGAGGATAAGATTTAAGGAGTTTAGATAGTAAGCCACAATTCCTATAATCTGCCTACAATGGAAACTAAATCTTCTTCCTAAGATTTGTTCCTCTACAAAACCCCAAATCAAGCAAACTTATATTTAATTTGTAGTTGAGAATATATCCTTTAATTATAGAGAGTTTGGTGAGGATTGCAAAAGATATGTTGGACCCATTGTGCTCCAGAAGTAGATAGGTCAATTTTGTCAAGAATTGGCCGGAGCTGGGGATTAGTTGTGGATTTCTATAGATCTCACGGAATTTAGAAATTCCAATTGCAATGGCTCAAGGACATTCACTAGTTCGGATTTAGAGGTTTTTATTTTTTTTAATGGAGTTTTAATATCTTTTGGTAGTTGTTTGGTTGACTGAAAACTATCTACAAACATTTTTTTTTTTTAACAAAACTAAATTTTATTAGAAAAAAAGTGAGATACAACACACAACCAAAGACCAAACAGGCCAGTAAAGAAAAAAGTACAGCCACAAGAACATAATTCTATAAAGGGTTAAAAGTCATCGGACTTAGACCGCCACCTGGTTGCCAGGCATGGGCCATCCAAGGAGTACAAAGCATCCAAAAAACTGACAACCAGCAAAAATGAAACCTCCACCAAGGTTGCCCAGCAAGCCCAGGCCATCCAAGGCGCATGCAGGATACCTGCTTCATCATTATCCGGACCCCAGATATGTGCCGCACTGAAAGTAATTCCAAATAGCCAACAAAGCCAAAACCAGTCAAAGAACAAAAGGAACCATCATTTCTTTTTGGCTTTACGACATCTAGACTTATCATTCATTTTAAGAAAACCATTGTATGTAATTAGAATAGCACCATAGCTAACTCATGCAACTCCTCCCCACCGTATAAATAATAACCTTCTTTAAGATCCAGCCAATCACATTGATCCAAAATGCTACCACCTGCAAGATGAGACAACAAGCAAGTACTAGATACAACAGTTAATGGAACATCCACCAAATGTCCCCTAACACCATCAAACTCCATCCCAAAACACACAACATCAGAAGAAACCAACCCCTTCGAAAAACAATCACCCCCTGACTCATTACCCGCAAGAGAGTCTTCCCCAGAATCAAACAGAGGAATCAAATCCTCATTAATGTCATCCATAGGAACATGAATGTCACTCGGACAACCAACCCGATTAATTAAACAATTTTGAAGTTCAACAGCCTCACCAGCCTTAGGATCAGGTGTCACAATCTCGTTACCCAACAAAGGAGAAATCGAAACCAACGCATCATTAGAATCCACCTTCTACTCTAAATCAATGGCCTCAATAGACACAACAATATTCAACTCAACAGCTAAATCCTACATACCAGAGTCCTCACAAATAATGCCAACAGGGTGCATAACCACAGAATCAGACAGAACCTCCGTAAGGCCAGGAAGCACATGAATAACTTCCCCACCCTCACCTTACATATTATTAGCTTTAATAGAAGGCGGAGGCAAAGCAGACGAGTCAAGGTCAAGATGCAAAATCCGACAAAAAGCCTTCGAATGACCCAAATAATAGCAATGCGTACAGTACTCAGAGAAATCTTCCAAAACTACAGACTGCACATATCCTATGTTATTTAGGCCAATCCAAATTTTATCATGATATTATTTGGTCACATCCAGTTAAACCAAAACACGAACAACAGTGAATGTGAACCAGAAGAAGTCACATTATCAATCTTTAAGGGCTTACCAAAAATGGAGCCTAAGCCATGAAGAATACGCAGAGTAAACAGATGGGGCCGAAGATTAGGAAAAGATAACCAAATAGGGATAACAGGTGATTCAACCTCAATGTCCAAAGTAGGAGTCCATTTAATCAATTTCATATAGCACTTATTCACAAAATAAGACCTATGAGCAAATATCCTATAGTAATCCAAATCGTTAAAGAATTTAATCAACACATTCCATTGGTTAAGAACGATAACAAAACAATCGCCATTAAGATTTAGGTTGAAGAAGAAATTCCTACTGGCATCAAGCTATGGCCTACGGTCAGGGAATTTTTGAACTAGAGCGAATTCAAAAGGAATAGCACGAGACAAGATTTCTGCTTTCGAATTCCACAAGGTCGGCATACCCCGATGAGACGACACTTTAAGGTTGGGAAAGGAGGCGGAAGAAGGAGACACACCAGATAATGCATCTTTAAAAGAAAGAGAGGAGGATTCAAAAAAAAAAAAAAAAACAGGATCCCAAAAATGGGGAGGCACCATAAAACCAAAACAGATCGCAAATAACAACGAAAATGAAAAAGAAGAGAAGAATGAACTTCCCTGAAGCACACGAGGAGCATCGCCCGTTGAAAGAGGCGGAGAAAGCGCCGGAAGGGGCAGCTAGGGCGAAGCCCTAGCACACCCCAGAGAGAACATGAGAAACCATTTTGTCAGTCAACTAAACTATCTACAAACTTGAAATAACAAATAAGAAATGCAACTAGGGCTAAATTGTTCTAAAAAAATTTGACTATAACAACCCTAAAGAAACTTAAGGTTGCAGAAATATACGATGTTTACAAAATATCTTGAGATTTTGGTGGGTTTTTTTTGTGTTTTTTAGGTTGATCAAATGCTTTCAAGAGTGGAACCAATCCAATAGTTCCAAAAAATACTTGCCAACTTTAACTATGAGGGAATCTATTTGGATTAAGAGGGATGGAATGGGATTTGAGATTTTTTAAAGATGGAATACCAAAATTAAAATTGAAATAGAAAGAAAGAAGATTAGAGTAAGGAAACATGTAGAAAAATAAAAACTTTACTCACCAAAGTAGAGGTCCAAGAGATCACCCTATATCCTTGAGTATGGCAGGCCACCAAGCCATTTAAAAATGCTCTTCAAAACATGTAACCAAAGCCTAAAGAAGTTATATACAGCCGAAACCATATGAAAAAACACATCCATTTATTTTAATTCAAAATAAAGAGGGAAAAATGAGAGGAGGAAGGGGCCATCTCCATACTTAGACCCACTAGCAACCACCCACAACCACCTCCTTCCATGCACACTAGCATGGCATGTCCTTACCTCCTTTTCCATGATTTGGACTTAACCTATTAAGCACTAACAAAATAAATTCCGCTTGCTTATCACTAGTAAAGCAAACTATAATATTATGTAGTCCACAAAACACTTAAAAAACACCATAACATGGAAATACAATACAAAATTATGTAAGCTTTCATTGTTTCTTCATGGATTGAGCTTTATGCAATCTTGGTCTAGTGAAAGAG